AAAAGACGGTTTCTTTTTACTATTTCTAAAGGACTTTTAAGTAGCCTGTGTTTTTGAGCTGACCAGTATCCTGATATGGTAAGAGGATGAGGTGATATCATCCCATTTAACAAGTAAGGATGCTGGTGCTCAGAAACCTACTTTCTTAATTGTTCAGTGGTATGGTACTTGCCTAGCATGTGCAGGATCCTTGGTTTGATCCCCAGTACAAAAAATAAAACAGGAAGCTGAATAATATAATTTATAGCTATCAAAGTTATAAATATGTAAATCATAAGGAATTAAATATATCTATATTTTCACAAACTTGTAATCTCATGATGGGAAGCAATGAATATAAGTGATGACTTTGATTAATGAAGTAGAGCAGAGAATAGGGAAAGAACACATTATGCAATGGACATGGAAACCTTATAACATGTACAAGGCTACATTTCAGGATGTATAGTTCTGTCCTCCTCTTTTGCAGCAGAAGGCTGGATCTCTGTAGTAGCTCCTTGGGGAGACTCCCCCAGCTTTGCCTCGGCTGAGTCCTCTGCTCACTCACTGCCTACATGTACCTGTATTCTCGATTGTTAAATGGGATGATAACACCTCATCCTTCACCATATCAGGGTACTGGACAGCTCAAAAACATAGGCTACTTAAAAGTCCTTTAAAAATAGTAAAAAACAAAAACAAAAACAAAAACAAACATACCTTTTTCTTTTGCCCATTTTAACATCCATCAGTGAAGTTACAAGTAATACTTTCTATTTTGTATCACAATTATTTAATTACATAAATTACCTTTCTTACTAGACTATAATGTCTTTGTAAGTCTTATCTTTGAACATTTCACTGAGTCCAGCACAGAAATCTCACATAATACTCTCTGTATATATGCAATGAATTATTACCCAATCATTACTCTGGAATTTATCCCATTTAGCAATATCCATAAACTACAGCAAATTTCTACATTCTACATTTTTAAAGAAAAACTTAAAGCTATCATTAAATTTTGACATTTCATCATTAGTCAATAAAAGACAGCCTTTTAAACTAAAGTTCATTTAAAAACTACTTTGGTAGAGCACTTGCCTGGCAATGTGCAAGACCCTGGGTTCTATCCTCAGCATCACAAGAAACAAACTATCACAACAACAAAACCCAAAAGAACACCAAAAAACAAGTCTTACTTTTTTTTTTTTTTAATGATGGGGACAATAATACAAATGACTCTTCAAAGGCAACTCAATGAAGTGATAACATTAATTATCCCAGATGAAAAACCAGGTGATGTGAACAAAACTAAGACATTAGTACTTTCATTCCTATGATAACTTTTGCAACAGTCAGAAATTGAGACTCAACTTAATTCCTAGTTATAATATATTTTAATACAACACATTTTAAATTAATTTTATTTAGTTCTACGGTATTTTACTTTACTCTTTCATCTTGTGTGTGACCTCACTTTGACTTCACATTTCAGATTCTTAGAAGCCCTCTATAGAGGAGACTTGGACCCACAGAGACAAGTTACATCTTGTTTCTTCAAAATTCAAGCTGTATGCTCAATAATAGATACTTCTCTGAAGAATGGCTACACCCACTACACCACACCCCCACTGGCACAGCTAAATGACCACCTCATTTCATACCACAAAACTCACTTTAAAAGTCATCAATACTAGGATTAAATAAGTTCAGACTTTCAAATAAGCTTAATTCTTAGTGGGAAAAATGTATCATAGCCATATTAGTTTGCTAGGGCTGCCATGACAAAAAACTAGAGACTGGAAGCATAAAACAATAGAAATTTATTTTCTCACCATCTAAGAGGCTAGAGTTCAAGATGAAGATGTTAGGTTAGGTTGATTTCTTCTGAAGTTGAATAAATGGCTCTCTTCTTGCTATGTCCTTACATGTTCTTTTTTGTGTGTATGTATGCCCCTGGTGTTTATTTATAAGTCAAAATCTTCTTATTTTATGAGGACACCAGACTAGACTAGGGCGAACACTAATGACCTCACTTAATTTAATCACATAGTTAAAGGCCCTATCTCCAAATATAGTCACATTCTAAGGCACTAGATGGTAATGTTTCAACATATGAATTTTGGGGAGACATAATTCAGCCTAAAACAACAGCTAACTAGGTTCATTTATTTCTGCCCTAGGCACTAATTTAGGTTTTGTTCATCTTAAAAGCCAAACAATCTCTCAGCCATTCTTCCCCTAGAAATTTGGGGCTTACATTTCACATAGCTGTCCAAACCTCTTCTGTAACCCTTTGGGTACTTAATGAATGAAAACATACATAGTGATCCATCAGTTGCAATATGGCTTGTTGTTTGGGAGTCATCAAAAAGTTGTTAAGTAACAGTTCCTCTGAAACCAGAGAGAGATGCTTTTTACTTTTTTTTCCCTTAAAGCATACTGTAATTTCAAAATATCCATCTGATGAATTATTTTGGTCTTGTACATGGTGAGGAAACTATTGAAAAAAGTGCTCAAAGACCCTTTAATATTTTCAATGAGCACTAATAACATTTAAGAGAGGCAGTGTGAGAGGCCTATAATTCATTCTTGCATATTCCAGTAAATTATTATTAAGGGGCTGGGGTTTGTGGCTCAATGGTAGAGCACTTCCCCAGTATGTGTAAGGCAATGGGTTCGATCCTCAGCACCTCATATAAATAAATAAAAGAAATGTCCATTGACAACTTAAAAAAATCATTATGAAGATGTTTTTTTTCCTTAAATACTGTTGTACATGACATGTTTAAAAAAATTGTAAAATAAGCCAAACTAGTGGTATTCAGGTAGATCTTCTCAGTTTCTGATACAGCACATCCATCAAAACTTTTTTTTTTTTTTTTTTTTTTGTAAGTCTGGCTTCATTAGAAGACACCTTAGGTCAAACTGCAAAATGCATTTGTTTCTTTTCTAGGGGGTGCTAGGGATTATACTCAGGGGTGCTTTACCACTGAGCTACATCCTTAGTCCTTTTTATTTTGAGACAGGATCTTGCTAAGTTGCTGAAGGTTTGACTAAAATTGCTGAGGTTGGCCTCAAACTTGCAATACTTCTGCCTCTGCCTCCAGAGTCACTGTAATTGCAAGACTGCTCCACCAGGCTGGCTGCATTTCATTTTAACAAGCATATAACCTCATTTTTAAAATACAAGTGAATTAGCATCTGCAATAATCAGACAACTGCATGCACATTGTCATAGGACTCATGTTTCAATCTTTGAATGGTCATTTTACCTTCCCTATCCAGCATATCTTACATTACACAGCAATTTCTACTTTATCTTTACAGGTATAAAGACCAGAACCAATAAGAGTGAAGAGTATGTTGTTTATCAGCCACAGTAATCTGTTTCTATCACCAAGTATGACTTTTTTACTAATATGTGCACAAAAAACTAGACTTGAAGAAAACTTATGTAGGTCCTATTAGACTATCCAATCCATTGACAACAAAATGGCATCCCCCTCCCAGTCTAATTAACTTTCTTTAACGTTGGGACACCTGATATTAGCTGTCCCACATTAACTTTAAAAGATCATAAGATGAAGACATCTCATCAAAAGAATGCCTGTAATTCCAGCAGCTGGGGAGGCTGAGGCAGGAGGATCAAGAGTTCAAAGCCAGCCTCAGCAACTTAGCAAGGCCATAAGCAACTGAGCAAGACCCTGTCTCTAAATAAATTATAAAAATAGGGCTAGGATGTAGCTCTGGGTTCAATCCTGGGTACCAAAAAAAAAAAAAAAAAATCTACTTAAGTATGAACAATGACCAAAGAATGACTAATTAAAATTTGGGGCACTATACAAAGAAAACACTCTTCAGATACTTAGGAAATAATTTCACTTTGAATTTTAGTCAAGTTTAGTGGTTTCATTTACAACGTTTAAGGAAAAAATGATAGTTTGTGAATAAAACCATCATAAAACAAACCTTTATGTCACTCTTGATTAGTAAATAATAACAGTTGACACACAMATGCTAAAAACTATTTTTCATAATGGTAGTCAAGCAGCATAGATGAATCGATGTTTCCTAGTTCAGATTTTAACTGGCTACAGTAAAGTAAAGGGGCCTCAAAATTTGTTTTACTGACATTTTTATTTTTATTTAGTAATGGCTTAGGTTGTAAATTTTTTWAAAATCAAATGTTTTAATATACCTTTGTGTTCTTTCCATTTCCCTTACCTACATTTGTCGTCGTTTTGGGTCTTGGACACTTCCATTTTCTTCTTTTATGCTCCCCAAATGGCAAAAACCTGGAGTGTAACTCATCATGTCTGTTTTTGTTTTGTTTTTCTCATTCTAGAAGATCTGGAATGGTAGTTASAAAACCCAGGTGCAGCCAAGGATTACCTATTTGGATTTTCTAAGCAAAGTGTGTGTGGAAAATCATCTCCTCGCCCTTCATTTTGTATGTATTTAACGGCGCTGTCGTGCCTAAACGTAGACACTAGCCAAGAACTCGATTTCCAAAATGGCTTTGCTCCTTCAGAGCTGACATTGGTCTATAAAATAGAATTTATTTCCACTGCAACCAACCCTTCTCTCTACTCCAATTACATGATACAAGACAGCTGAGCCTAACCAAGTGTGGACAACTGAATCTGATCTGTTAAATTCAGCAGAGCCGACAGATCCGTTGCACTGATGTAAAAAAGAGTGTTAAAAGGAAAAAAAGGAAAAGAAAAAAAAAACCCCAAAACCCTCCCGGACCACACGAGGGGCGGGATCGTGCCCTCCCGCCCCGTCCGCGCCGCGGCCACGCCCCCACACCGGCCACGCCCCTTCCCATCCCTGCCGCGGCCACGCCCGACGTGAGGCGCGGGAGTCGCCGGGCCGGGGGCGGGGCCTGGGCCGCCCCTCCCCCAGCTGCCGCCGCCGGCGGCCTCCGCGAGGGCCTCCCAGCCCGTATTCCACTCACTTTGTTCTCCGCCTTTGTCCTAATCCACACCAGCAGGTGGAGCCGCAGTTAAAGTTTCCGAGTCCATTCCGGGAGCGGGAGCCTATCTTGTTTGCCGCCGAGGCCCTCGCTGGAGGAGGAGGGTCAGAGCTCGGGTGCAGCCAATCGCGGGCAACGCTGCTAGTTATCAGAGCAGAATGGGCTGTAGTTTAGTGAAATAGGAAAGCTGCAAAACACTGTGGAGTGCTCYCGTGTAAATAAAAAGAGGAAAAAAAAGTTTCTCAAGTCGCCGCTGCACGACGTCGGGCCGGTGCCGGGGCGGGGGTCTGCGCTCTTCCGAGCGGCCGCGCGCTGGACTTTATTGTGCCGCAACAAGCCCCCGTCCCCATTGTTTGTGTTTTTTTCAAAATATGGCAAAGGTTCAGGTGAACAATGTAGTGGTGCTGGATAACCCTTCTCCTTTCTACAACCCGTTCCAGTTCGAGATCACCTTCGAGTGCATCGAGGACCTGTCTGAAGGTGAGTCGCGGCGCCGCCGCCCGCCCAGGCTGTCAGTTGCGGCTGCAGACGTTGAAAGTTTCCCGGGCCCGGCCTCGCGCGGGCGGCCGGCCGCGGCGCCGGGCGGGCTGCGGCTCGCCTCTGCGGAGGGAAACTTGAAGTTGATGGACGACGGCCGCCGAGGCGCGCGCAGGTCCAGCCGCAGCCCGGGCGCCTGCCGCGGCTCAACTTGCGAGGAACTTGTTCGAGCGGAGGTAGCCATGTTGTCAGCTTTGTCTGGCGGGCGGGAGGGCGGTTCGCGGGACCCGCACTCGCGCCCGCGGCGCCGGCCGGGACTAGTGCCGGGCTGGCCCCGCGCCGGGAGCTGCCTCCGCGACCCCCGCGGCCAGTCTGGGCTGGGAGAGGCGTATATATGGTCGCCGCGGCGAGTTAGCAGCGGAGCCATCTTACCCCAGTAGAGAATTGGGCTGGCGACCCCAGCGTCACGACGCCTCCTCTGCCCCGCTGCGGGTGACGAGCACGGCGCCCCGCCTGCCCACCTTCTTGCCCCTGAGCCGAAGGCAAATCCATTTTTAGAGCTTACGGCAGAGTTGCCGTACTCTCCTGGCCGGCCATGCCCGGCCGCTCCRGGGAAGAGAGCGAGGCTGTCCTCGCGCTGATTTCTGGTTTCCTCGGCCAACCAGCGGGGAAGGCGGGAGCAGGCTCGGCCCCTCCGCGCCGCTGGCTCCCCGAGGGCCGCCCGTCCTCCCCGGCCGGTCCTCCCGGCCAGCGCCGGGGATGCTCGTGGCGCCCAGGATGCTGGCGCGCAGGCTCCCAGACCAACGTGGACTCCTTTTCCTTAGTGACGGAAATCTTCTCTCCTCTCTCTCAGGAAGAAACATATTGCTAARATAGGAAGTTACATTTAATCCAAGAGCAGAAATAAGATACTTTAAAAAATTCCCAGGACTTAATCTCTGGCTTCTAAATAGTCCGAAAGAAGACCGTCTTCGAGAACGTGTTGAAATCTAATTAAAATAACCACATCCAGACAGATACAGAATACACCCTGAACATAAAACACAAACGTGGGCTAGGAAATAAAAGGTAAAGTCCTGATGGCAACGCAACAGTCTTTAGTATTTTTACGTTTTTAAGATCTTAAAAAGAATCTTTTAAATACTTGCAGTAGTACATACAGTACTATTTAGAAAGCTAAAACTTGATAATCTTTAATCTGTGCTTTTTTTAGATTTTATTAATACAATTCAGTGCTTTATTTTCAAAATCTGAGTGGAAAAAAAGTTTGACTTAAGTATTAATTTCACAGTTAAAATAGGGGACCATCTTTGAGCTTACATGTATATTTGAAAAAATGCATTTAAAATTATTAGGCTAATCATGGCACTGTAAAGCATTTTTTCATTTTAAAAATCAGTTCTTAATCTCTAAAATGTATTTTAAGTAAGATGTTAATTTTAAAAGCAATGTGCACTCATTGCAATAAACTTTTTAAAAAGTTGTACAAAGTAGCAGTCCTCAGTACCTACCCTCCTTTAGCTAACCACAATTAACACGTTAATATGTGACTTGTTTTAATATATACATCAAGCATAAATGCATGTATTTCATATGGAGCATATTCTGAAGGATTTCTCATTTATTAAAATGTAGTAATCTATAAAGAGGTTATGGATAATAAAAGATTATTTTTCTTACTATTTTGAAACCATTTGGTTACATACATTACATGGTACTACTAAAAGCATTTCAACTGCCAGCCCATTTTTCATACCTAAGAGTCAGTCATTTTTCTTCCAATCAATTGCATACACAAATGGGTAAATATAAGAAAAATATTGATCAATCCATCCCAATTTATACTAGGTGTTTTGGGCATTAGAAGACCTTCAAGTTACCAGTTTTTCTCAAAGATGCCTTCCATTTTAGGATGTTACAGGGTCTTTACATGGCTAGTTTGAAACCTGCCATTTATAGAAGCCAAACTGTTCCATTTTTAACGTGGATCCTTCAGAACTCAGCTCAATAACATCACAGATTTCAAGAATACACCTACTTCCACTGGTAACACTTCACATGGGGGTACCATCACTGGGCATTTATTTAGTACTTTTTAAAATATTTTAAGCTGAGTCATTGAGGAGCTGCAAAGGAATCTTTCAAAAAGGTGCCATGCTTGTGTACTCCACCTAGAGGCTGTGTGGATTAAGGAAGTTGAGTTTACTGAGCAAAGGTTCCTTTTAGGTTCCATACTTTTATATTGTAGTTAGTTTTTAATAATCTATTCCTGAAATTAAACTTCAGAATATTCTGAAGAGAATTTATAAATTACTCTTTCTTGATCCCCAAGCTATAATTAAGCCACCATTTTTCATACTGTAACTGGTCAAAGTCCCCTTTAAAAACTACACTATTGGTTTGCTTCAGAAAAAGCCTTATATAGTGTTTGTTCTTCAGATAATTGGATTGTTTCTAACATAAGGCCTATGTCAGGGAGTAAAATAGTTCTACAAAATGAAAGGTCAAGATTTAAGCAGAAGTTGGACTGGGGTTGTAGCTCAGTGGTAGAGCACTTGCCTGGCATGTGTGAGACACTGGTTTTGATCCTCAGCACCACATAAAAATAAATAAATAAAGGTATTATGTCCATCTACAACTAAAAATAAAAAGATTTAAGCAGAAGTTACAAAGCCTTCATAAGAATTGACTGATCTTTTTACCAATTTTTAAGTTTGTATATCAATAATTACAGCTACTGATAGTTGAATATTTACAGTGTATCAGAATTGAACATTGTGATTTATACTCAGCATTAGAATAAGCTTGAAAATTCAAAGTGCTGCATCTTTACCCTAAACCATAGGTCTTTCCATAGGTCTTTCCAATTAATTTTAAATCCCCTTTGTTGACTTCCTTGGGTCACTCCCACCACCACAAACAGAGATACTTTCCACCTGGGATTTCTACAACTGAATGAAATTTAACTTTTTATATAAATGAATAAGCTCTTTCAACTGGTAACCTACTTAAAGTAGATGACCTTATCCATTCCTCTTTGAAATACGGAGGGCTGGATAATTAAATCTAGGTTAAAAATAATAAAACAAGTAACACTAATTTATAAAAATTGCTGGCCATTTAAAATGCAGTAGGTTCCACAAAGATCCCACAGCATAAAAATCAATGTGTATACATTCCTTGATTTGGTTGGCTTTTACTAGCTAAGGCTAGATTATCCCTTCATCCCTTCTTACTTTCACCTCCCCACACCACCACCAATTACACTGCCTTATTTCACTATTAATTCAAGAGCTAGAGAGGTAAAAATTTATCTTCCCAGTTATGTTTTGGAGAGTCCAGACTTTGGAATTGCCCTAGCACATCTTGGATTTGATTCTTTAATATGTTGTGTAGATGAGTAGGTTAGAGTCCCACATAAAATACCTAAAAATATATACATGTATTGCAAAATTATATCTATATAATAAAGCTGTTGAGGTTTTACCAACAGTGTTAAGTGGCAGAACCAGTRCAAGCAGGTTTATAAATTATGGGTACATTCCCTATGTCAGACAACATGCCAGCTTATACCATTGAGTCCAAGATCCTAGTGGTACAAATACATATGAAATTAACAATCTTATGAAAACCTCTATGACAATTCTCAGTCTTATCCTCTCTTGGCTAGCTTAGTAGCTTTCACATCTCTTTCAAAAGCTTCTTGGCTTTTCGGTCACCTACCTAATTAGCCACTAGTTTCCTAACCTACTTTATTGATTCTTCTTTATCCCATCAATTATAATGGCTTTATATACTACTGCCAATTTCCAAATTTTATCAGACCTATTTATCTCCACTTAAATATGTAGTAAACATCTCAAACATGTCTACAACTAACAGGATAATTTTCCTCTCCTCCCACCTCAACCCCTGCAAAAAAAGTGTCTCTTCCTGCTTCTGTCATCAGAATTTATCCAGGATATAACTGTTTCACATCCACCATGGCCACACATAGTCCATGATACCATAATATTTTGCCTCCATCATAATTTTTTAATACTTTTTTTAGTTGTAAATGGATCTTTTTAATTTTACTTATTTGTATGCAGTGTTGGGGATAAAATCTAGGGCCTCACACATGCCAGGTAAGTCCTTTACCACTGAGCCACAACTCCAACCCCTCATCATAATTTTTTGAAATAGCCTCCTGTTGTCTTGCCCCCTTATAGTCTATACTGAACACAGCAATTTAAATGATGTTTTAAAATGAAAATGGATCCCTGTCACTTCTCTGCTCAAAACCCTTCAATGGGGCTGAAGGTATGGTTCAGTGGTAGACTGCCTGCCTGCCATTCACAAGGACCTGGATTTGATCCCTGGCACCACAAAAATAAAGAAGACATTTGGTGGCTTCCCATGTCATTCAATGTAAAAAGTCAAAATCTTTAAGTTGGCCTTCAAACCCTTGTCTTAGGGTTGGTTACTGACCCCCTTGTTCATTCTGTTCAAGTCCAGCCTCACTTTTTTCTGACCATGCCAAGCATGTTTTCTCCTGACTGGATGCTCACATTCCCTGCTTCTTCATCTCTATGAACAAGTAGGTGTTCCTGTGAGAACCCAAATGCGGAAATGTACGAAAAGTGGGCAATGTGAGTGGTCAAAATCTAGGATAGAGCCATGACATAATAGGCCCTCAACAGTCACTGATTTTTAAGAACATGTATAAACCTGAAGCAGCTTTCAGTTCAATAAATTGCAGTTTATAATAACATAAAAATGTACCTATCATTTCTTTTATTAAGATATAAAAATATCTATACAGTTACACAAAAATGGCACTAACTAAATTCTCTTGTAAGTGATCCAGAAACTCATGCCTTTGGGGGTGTTTATGTGGTCTCATTGAATCTACCGTGCAGGATTCACTCATGAATCCAAGAGCAGGCCACACATATTAAACACCCTAAGAGGATGAGGAAGTCTCTTAAAGATGATTTGTATTTATAGAATTGTCTTCCTTCCCCTACTAAAGAGGAGGCTCCTTYAAAGAGTAGCAGTTTTACTTATCCCTGTGTTCTCCAGAGTACTTTGTAAAAGGTGTTCAATTAAGTTTGCTATTGAATTACATATCAAAGTCTTAGAGTGCACATGAGTTTGTTTTATACTCCTTGTGCCCATTGCTCCTATATATACTCTGTTGTGCAAACAGGTGGAAGGTTCTGGGTTTCCTCTTCCCAGTTTAAAGAATATATGACCTGAGGGAAAAAAAAACCCTGTGGTCCTTTAACCACAGTTAATATAGTTAGTAATAGGCATCAGTCCCAACTAAACCAGTAATGTGCATCTTCAGTTTATAGTTTCAGCCATGAGAAGTGATGATAAAACAGCTACTTTGTTTCAGTTGATGAGCTAATAAAGCCCTTACTTCTGAGTCAAAAGGGAGTTATGCTAATAATGATTTTTCTACTTGAGAGCTCTGTGCTGATTTGAATCTCACAAGACAGGCCTTCCAAAGTATRTTGAGGAGGTTGTTAAAAGATGACATGCAAAAAAGGGCTAAGGAATTCCTTAGCCAAATAAACATGGGAAGTGCTGGACTAAGGTTCCTGGTATTCTTTATTAAGGGATGTCTCAGAACACAATGTTGGCATGCTTTATAATAATCTTTTAAGACAAGGTGTATAGCATTTCCCACGTTTCTGGTCATGCAGTCTTTTTTGTGAAGAGCACTGTTCAGGGACCAGTGTTTCAGAAAAGATCATTTTGAGAAAGTGGTATGAAGAATGAACTCTGGTAAGAATTTTATAAGAAGCGGTTCATTGCCTTTCTGGATTTTCTGCTATTCGAAATCATTTTGCAGCCAATGTATGGCTAAGTAGACATTAAAAGGGYCTTTTGATGTCATCTGGGAATGTAATTACTGATATGAAAAAATGTTTTGGTTTTTAACTCTAGACTTGGAATGGAAAATTATCTATGTGGGCTCTGCAGAAAGTGAAGAATATGATCAAGTTTTAGACTCTGTTTTAGTGGGTCCTGTTCCTGCAGGAAGGCATATGTTTGTATTTCAGGTAAGATTCATCTTAGTAAACTTGTATACCAGATGTTTCTAAATTGACTGTCTCATGGTTCTTATCCTTTGACTTTTGTGTTAAATCACTGCTTCAACTACTTTTAATCTGYTGTCTTTCAGGCAGTCTCTATCATAAAGGGACTGCACTTCTTGGTTTTTGTGTACTGAAGTGATGTTAATAATATTTTGCTTCAGGGAAGTGCACAGCATGCAGTAAATCTTATACTATATGATGGCACACATGGTGATTAATCTTGGGCTCTTCTAGTAGATCAGACTTTTAAGATGGCTGTCCAGAACATGGATTCAAAACACTTTTTGCTAACTGGTACAGTTAACTGCATAACCAGGCAATAATATGAATCAATAGTAAGGGAAACTAGACCATTTAGTAATAAACATTTTCAGTTTATGGTTTCAGCCACTAAGAGTAATGGTAATATAACAAAAACAAAAACTTTATTTCAGAGTAGTCAGTAACTAAGCTACATTAACTATAGATGGAGATGTGTGATATTGAGGCATTGAATTTTGAGGGGATCAAATCCAGGAATTTCTGCATGCTGGGCAAGCACTCTATAAATGAGTTTATCCCCAGCTGAGTCACTGGAATTAAAGTCCAGTGGTTTACTAAGGCATCTAATCTACATACCTTATCAAGGACTACTGTTGTAAGTCCACTAGTCATTTGTGAAGAGGAAATCTACTAATATAAATTATGTACTGACAATATTTGGTCTGTGCCAAGGCTTCAAACATTGTCTTCTGTATGCAAAAATGTGATTTCTTTTAATTCATGCTAAGTTGCTATATAAAACTATTGAGTCATTTCTAAATTCTCCATGCTTCTTGGAGGGAGATATTAATAATATTCCAAAGAGTAATTAGCCATAGGTTTGTTTTTTTTTTTTAAATAAACTTATTAGTTTTTGTTATAAGTATTTCTACCAACAAAGTCTCACTGAAAAGTCTTCATCAAGAAAGAAAAGTCTGGGGCTGGGGTTGTGGTTCAGTGGTAGAGTGCTCGCCTAGCATGCACGAGGCACTGGGTTTGATCCTCAGCACTACATACATGTAAAATAAAGATATTGTGTCCACCCAAAACTAAAAAATATTAAAAAAGAAAGAAAAGTCTAACTCTTCCTGTCACAGACATTCCTGTTTTCTCACTTCATAGTGACAAACCGTATTCAGTTAAATTGGCCCTGTCTGAAATCAGCAAAGAGGGATGAAGATGTGGCTTAATAATGGAGCACTCACCTGACATGTGTGAGACTCTAGGTTCAATCCCCAGGGCCACAAATAAACAGGCAAAAGAATCACTCAAACAAAGTCCAGCCCTAGGGATGCCTTTCCTAAATATAGAATTCAGAGACTTGTTCTCTTAGCCTTAGGAGCTTTATATTAGGAATGCATAAATRATGTATCAAAGCAAATGGTGAAGAAAAGCTCTAAAACACATTAAAAGGGTTAAATGAGTTGTACGAGTGTATAATCTTGTGAAAAGTGGGTAACTCAGAACGCCCAGTTCTGCAGAAGGAAGCACTGCCATTACAGACCTTGGTCAAACCCCACACCGCTGTGTGTGAATTTAGACAAGCTCATCTCCCTTAGAGACTCCACTGTAGGTAGGATCCTACCTTCATGAGAATGTTATAAAGAATAAAACAGTATCATCACTGACAATCTAATTACATCTATAATTAGAACTAAATTTTTATTTTCTTAGTTTCTTGAAATTGTTATATAAAGAGGCAGGAATTGATTTGGCGACAAGCTTGGGGAACCCTTACTTTACTGATAGTAAGTAATTCATGGTTTAGTAAAAGAAACTTGGGTTGACATATAGTGCTACTATAAATACTTAGATAAATGCCTTGGTTTTGAAATAATCTATTGAGAATCTTTTTTTTTTTTTTTTTATTGTTTGGAACAACACTCTCCTAAGCTCTTGGTTAAGTGTTATAAGGGAAAAAAAAAATCAATAGTATTTCCTTCTAGTGATAAGTAACTTTACCTAGATATCAGTGTACATATTGCCAAAAAGAACAGAAAAAACACGTCATTTGGATCATATGTGTCTCCCATGTTTACAAAATTAACAATATCAACAGGAAGTGGCTAAGGTACAGTTTTTGATGTGTTTTAAGTAAAGCATGCCATAATATTCTCCTGTTCTGCTATGATTCTGCTTCAGAATTATTCAACTTGCCTGTTTCTTGAGTTGTCAAAGACTAGCAGTAAGACAGCCAGACATCTGCCTCATATTGCTGGTTGAAGGCAAAGATCAAAGATCTCTGTCCATCATTTTCTTATCCTGAATGATCTGAAAGACTTGCTACTTTCTCTAATTGAATTTGCTAACCTGAGTAGTTTAGCAAACAGATTTTTAAACAAACATGCCGAGAACCCATTTGTTGTGTGATGAGAAGCAATATGGAGGAGAGTTCCCATAGTGCTACTGAACTATTTCCCATCTCCACCTACTGCAACATGAGAAGCCCTATGGGTACTTTAAAAGTAACCTAACCCCTCTGGGGAAGAGGTGTGTAAGATCTCTATGACAATCATCTTTGGGATAAGCTCTCTGTCCTCATCATGGTGTCTCTCCAAGGAGATCAAAAACAGCTTCAAGACAGGATCTGAATAATGAATAAATTTCAAAACACTAAATGCTTAAAGCTGTACCAAACATAAGATTATAAAGATGAACTAGATGGAACTCCTGCTCTGGACAAATTAGGGAAGACTGAAGAGTAAACATAATTTGATTGTTGAGCATACAAGTACATTTTAAAAAGCTGCTAACTCTACCTTCTTAGTTAGGGCTTATAAGGACACAAATTTCTTCAGGATGTGAGGGAAGTACATTTCAGGCCAAGGGAACACTATGTTCAAGGCACAGAGGTGGGAAAGATTATCAGCACATCTTAAAGAACTTGTTTAGTAATTCATATCTAGAACAAGAATAGAATTAAAGGAGGTATGAATGGAGTTATTGGAGAAAAATTATGAAGGATCTTAAAAATGAAGATAACCAAGATTTTGATCCCTACAAAATGGGAATAATCTATGGTTTTCAAACCAGGCTAAAGGACAGAAACAGATCTGTGTTTGAATCCTAATGCTGGCAGCAGTACAAATGATAGGCTAGAGGTGAAGAGACAAGTTAGAAGGTTTTTGCAATATTCCAGATAAGAAATGAAGACATGAAGCCAGCCTTCAGCAATGAGAGATGTTGAGAATGACTGGATGAGAGAGATAAGCATTGGCTGAAATTTTACCTAGGCCCAGGATGCTCCTTAGTGTCCTGACAACAGTAAGCTAATTTGTTGGAATTTGCTGGCTGCTTCAGGTTGAACTCARATGTCTCAGGTATTATCACTGCCCATGTCTTCTCTGTCTGTGCCTCCTTCCATCCAGTCCATGTCTTTATTTCCTGTACACTGCTATAGATACGGCCCTAGCCTTTTCTTGTGTTTGTAGCCCCTTCTCTTCTCGTTTCACCTTCTGCATTAAAACAAGGTCTTTGATATCATCTACCTAAAACAATCTTCACCCTCATTGAATTTCCACCAATATAGGTGATTTAAACAGCATGTTTTTTTTTTTTTTTTTAGCAAAGTGACTATTTACAACAGTGGATTATTAACATTTTTTTTAAATGCTGTATGCATTTCATCTTCATTTTATACTGATTTACAATTAGAATATCTGTTAAGTGGGCATGAGAATATAAGTGTCCTGGTATAATAAACATTTCCTGCCAATAGGCTGTATAAAGATAATATTTATTAATTAGGTCTGTAAATTATAACTGGACAAAGTTAAAATCCATAAGACTATTGATTTGATTGCTTAAGAGTACTTAATTATAGCATGGATAAATGAGCAATATTTTTAAACTATAAGCCTATCTCAAAAATGAACACTTGCCTTCCTAATGTGATTTCTAAGTTTCAGATGCACCTTCAATTGATAGTGTTAAGATAATGAAAACTCAAGCCTTTCATGCCATTAACAGCTTTTTTGTGTTTCTTTTCTTTTTAAATTATTTTAGGCTGATGCACCTAATCCAGGACTCATTCCAGATGCAGATGCCGTAGGTGTAACAGTTGTGCTAATTACTTGTACCTATCGAGGTCAAGAATTTATTAGAGTTGGCTATTATGTAAATAATGAATACACTGAGACAGAATTAAGGGAAAATCCACCAGTAAAACCAGACTTTTCTAAGGTAAGATTCCTATCATTACTTTTAAATTACTTATAGTTTTTGTAGGAAGTTGCTATTTCACAGTACACTATGAAAGTGGCTTTGATACAAAATAAATTTGAAGTCCTTGTGCCATCTGGGCAAAGTGATTATTGTTCCATTATCATGAAACACCTCAAACCCTACATCCAGTGAATTACTAGTATTAATGTTGGGCAGATACCTTGACAGTTTCTGATGGTTTACAAAAATGAAAGTGCCTCTTGTAGAACCAGGCCTTTGTTTATGGCTCTGTCTGTTGCATTTTTCAATGCGTCAAGATTTACCTGATTTTAACTTTTAGGACAAGCAAGTTCATATCGGTAATATTATTGATTAATCACTATTTTTATCTATAAATTTTCCCAAAATTATAGGAAGAGATTTTCTGTTTGCATTGTATATGAATATTGTTATCTTATGACACCTAAATGCTTTGTTTTAGCTGCTATTCTTAGAAGTTAGACTATAGGTCTTAATTTTGTTTTTTTTCCTTCTGTACTAGAGATTAAACCCAGGGGCATTCTACCACTGAGCTATATCCCAGCCCTTTTTCTCTTTTTCAGTYTGAGACAGGGTCTCTGTAAATTGCCCAGGCTGGCTTCTAACTTGGATCCTCCTGCTTCAGCCTCTGAGAACTGAGATGACAAGCATGTGCCACTATGGGTGGCTTAGGTCTTAAATATTTCTGATTATGGAAAACAGCTTAAATTCCGTGAAGTTAAAATATGATTTAGTAGTTTCAAAGATATTTAGTATCTTATAAGTTTCCATTAGGAACCATTAGCAGTTTAACAACTGGTGATTTTGTGAGGATGCAAAGTAAGCAAAGTTAAAATGGCACTATCTGTCAGACCTTTCAAGAAAAATTTCGTGACTGTGGAATAGAAAGTTCTCCTTTCTGATAATAAGGCTGGAATGCTTTTTATCCTATTTGTGGGGCCTTCCATTGATCTATCACTTGTATTGAAGAAAACAAAGAACCTAGTATATTGTTTCTAAGAATGAGCCATAATATTTAAAAGGTAAAAAGCCACTATAATGAAGTTACTATGTATTCATAATAATATAATATTTGGGGAACTTATTCATTTTCCTTGAAAACATCAATCTAAAGAGATATTGTTTCAATAAAGCATCCTCTGAAGCATTCACCTACAAAAGACTTTTTCCCTCCCTTTTAGGAAATAAAGTTTAGAAGAGTTAGATGGCTTATTGGTAGTGAAAGATCTATATGAATTCCCTCAGATTCTCCTTTTTTTGTTTCTCAGTCTTCGTTTATTAGTTAGGCCTGAAGGGCTTTATTTGACTTATACCTTTGTATGTGAATGCCTCTACTTGCTATGGTGATCTAACTTTCCTAGTGTTTACCATTTATATATTTCCTTCCTCTAGCTTCAAAGGAATATTTTGGCATCTAATCCCAGGGTCACAAGATTCCACATTAACTGGGAAGATAACACAGAAAAACTGGAAGATGCAGAGAGCAGTAATCCAAATCTACAGTCACTTCTTTCAACAGATGCATTACCTTCAGCATCAAAGGGATGGTCCACGTCAGAAAACTCACTAAATGTCATGTTAGAATCCCACATGGACTGCATGTGACCACCTGCCATCCCTTTAGTACAGATTAAGCTATTAAAAACAGAACTATTTCCCTGAAATTCCGTAAGTACATAGTCAAGACACAATGTGAAGAATTTGTTTAAAAACATCCTGTAGAAAGTTTATAAGAAAACCAGTATTTGAGCAAATTGTGGAATATAAATACAACTATTTTTAAGTAATTTTTTTTCTCTAATGTGTTATTTTATTTGTTCTGAAACTAATCTGATTAAAGCATATATATTATTTTCTTCTCCTTTATATGTAATTAAAGCACTTATAAAAAGGAAAATATGAACCATCAAACCAGATTGTGAAGATGTCTTAGCCTCTTGGACAATAATCTTGGGACCACTATTTTACTGGCCTTTGAAAGAACAAAGTTGACTTCAACTAAATGTTTCTTCCTGTGAAGACAAAGTGTGGTTTTAATTTAAGAGGCAAATTTCCACTGATTAACAAAAAGGAGTCCTTAAAAGGGGAATTTGAAGTCAACTAAAAACGACCAAGAACTTTAGGTTTCAGTTTTTCCAGGCCACCATAACATCTTGTAGCTGCTATTATAGTTCATGTAATATTGGACAGTAGTTGGTTTGGTTTCTAAAATAATAACAAATGTGGCTAATTGTTTATAAGRTCCTCTGGCTATGGTTTTGGTTTTATAACAGGACATCAAAACACATGAACTATAACTCATTTTTGAACAGTGATTTCGACATATCAAGAGCATATAAACTCCCTAAGTTTAAGAACATGAGATTATAATAGCTCAAATATGCTTATTAGATTTATAAAAGTACTATGAACTTTAAAAATTCTTTTGATAGATCATCTGTTGTTGGCACTATTTATATAAAAACAGTGGATTTAGAAAGGTATATTTAGCTTTATCATAACAGATTAGTTACTATTTTGGAAATAACTATATTTTCACATCTATACTACTCTTCCCCATGTCCTCTGACAACTCGAGAAGAATAGGATCAGGCATATTTGTAGTTGACACATTCTAGATAGCTTTTCTAGATAACAGGTTTTTGAAAAGCAATAATGGAAAGGAATTTATTAACTAAATGGGTCAAAGGTTATTTTTCTTTGATGATATCTAGGTACTTCAAAAAGTCTCTATACTCCATTAAATTAAAGGTAGAATATTTTCATTTGACTCTTGCTGCTAAGCAAGGTAGCCATATGATTACAGCTTATGCAGTGCCTTCATATCTAAAACTTTTATACTGCACTTTTTAAAGTTTTTATTTTGAGGAAAAGAAAAAGCATTTGTCTAAATACAGACTCTTAAGTTGTATATATTTCATGTCATTCTAAAAAAGTGAATTTGTGAAGCAAAGTTTTGCTAAATATTAAACTTTGGAATTTAATATGCCAGATTATTAGAATATTATCCATTAACTAGTTCATCGATTTTAAAAGCAAAATGCCTCCGACTGTTAAAACTATATGAAGAAAATATCATCTTTGTCTAAATGAAATTAAAAGAAAATGTTAAGGTATTAAAATGAAAATAAAAGTAATACTTTCCAACAAAGAGCTCAGTGATTAATCTAGTAGGAATAAGATATGTTCTAATTAGAAATAAAACATATAAACTAAATCACCAAATAATGCAATCCACCGCTGACTTTTTATTCTGACTAATTAAAAGATYACTTTGTAGTGACATCAAAGAGTTAGGTTTTTATATCAATTTGGAAATTGACAGCTAATTTTCACACAAATTTCGGACTTAAAAACAATTACCTTTTATTACCTTAAGTTTTATGGCTCTGTTAAGTTAGTTTTAAAAAAAAATTAATGACTGAAAATCGATTTGGAATTCAAATATTAATAACTAAGAACTAGTGTGTAGCCTTTTTTCTCCATGGTAGCCTCATTTATAGACACTATATCTGAATTTAGCTGGCAGGCTTAGAATTGTTTTTCCCGCCTTTTGATCATGAAGAATATAAATGTGAACAAATCACCTAACGGCACTGTAGAGATAAGCTGAGTAGGTTGGAGAAAATCAGGGTATCATTTGAGCTGAGAACACAATCCAGGAATCTGAGGAAGCATATGTGCATTTGTCCTTTATAACCCTTTAGATTTCTATATGGTCTTACCCTGTGGTTTTAGAATTTTGGATTTCTAGTTTTATCAAAAGTCTGACAGCAGTTTTCAAATTTTTTTTACCATGATCCAAAAAAAAAAAGCATGACCCTGTAGCAACACAAGTTTATATTAATTTTCAACGCATCCTTTAGTGTACCTCACTATGTGCTGCATGACTCCCTAATGGGTTGCAATAACAGTTTGAATAAAAGCTAATCTGGTCCTTTGAGTAGGTGAGAAGTAGCAGTCAATTTTCTATGATTATGAAATTTATATTCCCTCTATCAGTCTTTTTGCTCATATTTGGGTTATAAAATAGCATAAAAAAGAGGGGAAATGCTAATGTATTTTTACAATTCACTAACACAGTGAGTTAATAGCCATTCATGATGAAACTTCCTAAATAATCTTATGTTACTGGTAGTCCACAAGATGACTTGGACTTATTTCTTGACATACCAGGTAATTAGGAAATATTCCATGTCAACATTCCACATAATTACTTGGGAAACATCTTTCTTTGTTGCAGACACCACTTTATACAGAACCCTAGAACACTGGATTGTAAAGATTCTAAAGTACACAAGTGTTCTTTATATAATCTTTCCTACTTCCTTTCAGTAGTAGGTTTGTCCACTATTTTCAATTTATAAATTTCTCCTTGTTAATGCATATTAATGTACTGTTCTATTTTAAAATTCGAGAGGCCATTAACTTATATGGGAACAGTGGAATATCTTGTTATATGATAAACTTTGAAGTGTAAGCTTCTCATAAGAAATTTGAACATAGGCTATGGAAATTAGGCTCTCTTAACAAGTAGCAAATAACAAGATGTGTGAAACCAAAGGCCCATTTTTAGAACAGGAGAAACATTCCAATCAAAACTGTAAAAATACAAAATAGCATCAAAATACATTTTTAAAAATATTTTTTTTCTGAATTCCGAAGTTGCTTTATAAATATTTACATCGTATCTGCAAAGGCTTTTAAATGTTCTTGATGAAGAATCATTACAATATATGAATGAAGCACTATGTTATATATATGAAAGTATGCTTTCCAAATAGTAAAACAGATACCTATCTTTACCAAAGAAATTTCAGTAAGAAATACTATTACCCATGAGACCTATGAACATGAAAATGCCTTAAGTTCTACACCATCTATCTAATGTTTTGTTTACTGGAACTTCATAAAATGCCAGATGATATGTACATTTTCCTGAATAAATCTGTATGAAAGTAATCATTAGAAAATGAGAAAAATCATAGCAAAACTAAGATGCAAAGATAAGTAAAGGTGAAGCGTTCTAAATATTTCTTAGAGCTACAAAAGTTGCACATTTCTTTCAATTTTTGGCAGTTACTCTTAGAAAAATTAGCTTGACATTTATCCTAATATAGGCACCTTTTCAGAAGACATAAAGTCATTGCAAGCTTCTGAGGAATGTTTAAATTATTTGAAATTGTCACGTACAGTACCTGCACTGGTAGATCCAATTCCTGTGGTCAACACAGATCTTGGTGTAATCTTGGCTGCATATTTGAGGAATTGAGATTTCCCTGTGCCAGGATCCCCAACCAATAAAAGATGAGGTTCACCTAGAAAAAATTAAATAAAATTTAAAATTGCTATAAAAGGATCCATGAATAAATATAATCAAAAAGAAAATGATCCACTTGGAATGCTAACATAGTTTATTTTATACAGTGTTATTGATGTATACTTTTATGTAAGGTTCAAGAAAGGATTTAACTAGACAATCTTTAGAACAGTTAACTCTCATAGTAATAGTAATCTTTACTTGATTACTGAATGTGACATTTAAAATCTAAATTCTATTAATAGATTGTGTGCTATTTCCAGATGTTTAGGCCCTTGCTTAATTTTTTAAAAATTTGGCTTATAAAATTTCTGATTTTATTCTACCAATTTTAAATACAAACTACTGTTATTAAATCTTTCCATTCAAGTCATACAAGTATTTTATTCTATTTTTATTTAAATATTTCTAATTGTTGGAGATTTTTAAAAGTGCTTTATATTTGTCAAATCATGTAAGATCTAACAAATAAGCAAAAGCATTTCTTATTTTATGAAAATTTTAGTAGCTTAATAAAATATCTATCTTTAAAAAATAGGTGGTTGCAGTGGCATACACCTATAATTCCAGTARCTCAGGAGGCTAAGGCTGGAGTGTTGCAAGTTAGCCAGACTCTATATCTTAAAATAAATGAGTGGGAATGAAGCTTGGTAGATCTCTCAAAATAATTAAATATTCTTATATTTCAAATGCAACATAAACGAACAAGTGACCATTCTTTGGTACTTGTTATCTCACTGACCAAATGTCTTTAGTTTACTCTAGTGTTTTCTAAATATATTAATAGACAATCCCTATTTAAGCTCAGCAATTATCAGAGTACAATGTAGATAACAGATGATGAAAACACATAATGTATACAAACCCTATACTTAGTATTCTATGCTGAACTATTTTTTAAAGTCTCTACTAACAGCCTGATTTACAATAATGTTCTTTTAGTTATCTAGTTTACTCTTTGGTTATTATGGCCCATATGAGGGACATTCAAGTCAGTTAAGTGTGTTAGCTGCAAAAGAGCTCTCTGCTATCCAAACATAATTATACACTTAGAGTAATCTTTGCTTGAATGTGTGACCTACAGCAGCATCTCATGGCAGATGGCACATTTGCTATCTACCAACAGAAGGGGAATCAGCAGGCAGATGACTGAGAGCAGCAGTCTGAGAGAAATATACCGACAGTCCCAGATGAAGAGACTGACTTGGCAATATTAAAAATGCGCTATTTCTAATCTTCTTGAAGAAAGACTCAGGATCCCATAAAAATTACTAGTAATAAAATCATAAAAATTTTATTTAGYAGCACCTGTATAGGGTAGATCAATACTATTTACCTATTGAAAAACTTAATTTTTTAAAATGTTTCTGGAATTTGGGAGAGTAGCTTCTGATAAAGGTGCTGAACTAAGTATGAAATACACAACAGTCAGAAAATCTCAAAACAGTGCTTTTACTAGGAAAGAAAAAGCCTAGCTTCTGTATTTATGTGTTAATTTTTTTAAATATTTATTCTTAAGTTTTAGGTGGACACAATATCTTTATCTTACATTTATGTGGTGCTKAGGATCGAACCCAGTGCCCCGTGCATGCTAAGCGAGCTCTCTACCACTGAGCCACAACCCCAGCCCCTGTGTTAATATTTTTTAATTTTCAAAACAGTATACTAACCTCTGACCCTTGTTCCTGTAGCATCAGTCCTTTGAATCCCACCAGCCAGCACCATGGCMACAGCAAGCTTTACTAGATACATCCCAAACACTTGAGGGCACAAGCTGGCCAGTATTTCATTCCTTCCTGGGAAATGTAGAAAGATCAGAAGTTACCAGCAATTTTCAAGAAATGCTAACTGGAATCTCCTTTCCTATCTTAACCGACTATAAACATATTCTTTCTACTAATTTAAAATGATCATGAGGGCTGAGTCTAAATGATTAAAGAGAGCAACTGTTGTGGTTCTTCTTTTCTTATTAATGCAGTGAGAGGATAGTCTGATTTTTATTCCTGAGACCTGCCTGCTTAAATCTCTCATACTTCTGAAGAGGCACAAAGAAAGGGATCTCCTTTTCTTCCTCATCTACTACTTATCAGGCCAGCATTTCCTTTAAAAGTATACCAGCTATACTTTCCGTGAGATGATTTCAGTAAACTTAATCCACTCCTAAATTAAAAGGAAAGTATTGAATGTTAAAAATGAGTCAGAACTTAACAGCCAGAAATCTTTAAAGGGGTAGTTGGAGCTTATGAAGCTTCTCGAAAAGTGGTAGAGAAGTAAAATCAATCCACCCTGCAAGTCAATTTGACATTTACTCTGAGGATTTTGGTAAATTCTTTTAATCTGGAATAGGTTACTRGAGTTATCAGAGTATCAGTATTAAGATCATCGCAAACTATAGCCCCAGCAAATCAAGCAGGAAATTTTGAATTCTTATAATTATGTGCTTTAAATGAAAGACTATCATTGTTTTTAAGTTCTGTTCTTATACATATCAAAACACCAATCTGAGAATCTCCATATCCCATTCATCAATTAGTCTTTTATCTCATCACTGACCTAATCAATCTATAATACTCCAGCAGGCCTTCCCCGAACCTTTCCATGATTTTTAAAAAAATTTTTTTAGTTGTAGATGGACACAATATCTTTATTTTGTGTGTTGCTGCTGATCGAACCCAGTGCCTCACGCTTGTAAGGCAAGCGCTCAACCACTGAGCTACAACCCCAGCCCCCTTTCCATGATTTATGGCCCTACACACAAGGACTTTTTGTATTGACACATTTTTGTTTGTTTGTTTGTTTACTTGTGTTTGTTTGTTTGGAGGCTGAGCATTGAACCCAGAGCCTTGTGCATACTAAGCACATGCTCTGCCCTCAGCCCAGTAATGAATCAAATTGACTCTGTCAGGTGAGCTATGGTGATTGTGACCTGGGATTGCAGAAAAGTAAAGAAACAAAAATCTTTTAGTAAAAAGGGAACCAGAAAGGAAATGGTAAATCCAGGAAGTTCATTCATTACCAGAAGTCCCTCCCTTTCCAGAGTTAACAAAGTTTAGAGAAAAAAAGTCAGGGATCTAAGCAGATAAGGTCTGAAATGAGGTAGGTAAACTGACCAGAATCTATGGCTTMCACATAGAAGGAAGATACCCAGCTAGCAGATTTAAGAATAGTACACTGACTTGGGAGTCACCCAAGTCAACACTGTTCAAGAGCCAGCTTTGTTGAGTTGAATAAAGGTAGATTTAGTATCTAACGTGCTGATGGGAAGCATATCCCAGTGGTAAAATCACAGGCCCCGTATCTGGACTCAAATCTGAGTGCTATTATTTACCTCGGATTTAACTCTGGGTGTTTCTCAACCTCTCTGCTCTATTTCTTTCTATATAAAATGAAGATAATATTGGTATCTCAGAATTCTTAAGGATCAAAGGAGTTAACAAATATACAGCATATAGAAAGTTCCTAGCACACAGTAGAGACTTCTTAACCATTAATTCTTTCCTGAATTATTTGTGCTTGTTTCTGATCTCAAGATCTCCTTAATACAAAAGATACACAATGAAGGTAGAACTGGGGTACCAGCAGTAAGCAAAAGGGGAAGACCATTATCCTAAATGTGCTGTCTAAGTTGAAGAACATGATTCCTTGGATTATAGCAATAGGTGCTTCCATGGCTTTACTATGGAAAATACATTAGCGTGAATACCATTCCATCAGCTCCTCCTGAAATTTCTGGTTCTAGACCTTGTTAGTGGTATAGCCATGGCCAAGTTATCTCCTCTTATGGCATGGCCCTCAGTTACATCAATGAAGAAAACCTTTGATCTAAGATAACTAAGTCACCCTAGAGAGGGTTCAGATGGCCCAACAGACCTCAGCACCAGGGTTAAGGGGTCCTTGAGGTCATTATAGGTCAGAATAAAACTTCTTGAGTCTCTTCCAAGTCAATATCCATAGTATCGAGAAACAAGTCAACCTCCAAGAGGAGAAGAGCAACCTCCAGCCTTAAGACGCAGAAGGAAGATGTCCTGTTGGAAACAGGTCCTCATCTTCACCTCTCCTTCACCAATACACATATAGACTTTGAAATGGTCAAATATAGTGCACTGGTACCTGATATATAGGAAACTAAGATAGAAACAAGATAGGTTTTTAAATCATCAGCACAAAGTACTTGTGAAGGTTTGGTCATCACAGCATGATGACCAACCTTCACTGTTATAATGCAGAGTTGAGCTGTGACACCGAAATGAATAAGGAATGACCATGTGCCAAGGAAGAGTACAAATTATTATTATAAGGACCTCATCCTAAGAAAACAATTTTGATCAAAAGTTCACTTAAAAATATATGTGATTCTTAAAGCACTTCGTAATAAAGCCACAGTAGAGAGAACTTTGGGCTCTTTTCTATGTAGATCAAATAAAAGAAAGATCAGAAACTATTACATGTGTGTTACACACTTAAGTTAAAAAAAATCCTGCAAAATATAAACAAGTTCCCATGTTTAGGTAAATGGAAGCTATTTTATGAACTCTCATCTGTCTAGTTCTGCATGGGACGTAAGAATAAATATATATTTGATTTGTGGTGAAGTTTATTAGAAATAGTCTATTACAGGCTTCAGTTTAGTTTTCTCAGAAGGTGCCTCCAAGGAAGAATGAAAAAAGGGGAACATTTAATTGGTGTCTATTTCATTTGGTATTTCCAATAAAAATATATATATACCCAAAGGCTGTGATATTTTATTCTATGTAATTATACCTTAGTCTGATAGAATTTTTGCCGTGGTGACAAAGTTTATTCTTTGTATCTTCTCATCATTTCCTATGTCCTCCCTATTTAAAAATCTTCAGCTAAAACAGGAGAAGTTGTCTTTATTGTCAAAAATACATTAGAAAGGGGCTGGAGTTGTGGCTCAGTAGTAGAGTGCTTGCTTAGCATGTGAGGCACTGGGTTCAATCCTCAACACCACATAAAAAATGAATAAAAGTATCGTGTCCATCCATCTACAACCAAAAATATATTTTAAGAATACATTAGAAAATAATGGCTTGAAGAGAATAAGGTTTTACAACAGGATGAGTTTTGACTTTTTAAAGAATTGCATTCTTAATTGGTAAAGAAGGTAGGAAACTCTAAAACTGCTCTGACAGTATAACAGTTGTTTAAAATAACTGAAAGAAGTAATCTCTAGGAAGATCTATAAGTAGAAAAGACTATGCCAGAAAAGGGAGACTACATCTAGAGGTACTAATGCTACTCTTTGAACTACACCACTGATTTATGCAGTACATAAGGCTGTTCCCAAATCACAGACACCGTATTTACCTACTGAATTTAATACCATTAGTTCATAAGCTTCATTCCCTTGATCACAAACCTGCGAAGGGATCATTCTTATAGTCTTCCCAAAAGTCTTCAAATTCCTTTCGGATTTCCTCATCCATAATAATCCTTGATGACTGCTCATTATTTACTTGGACGTAGTTGGCTTTCAGCACTATCTCCACTTCACAGCGTATATCTTGCTGAAAGGGTTTCCACCGTTGCATTACAACCCCATAAATAGTGAGGTCATCACCTGGAAAAAGCACCAAGTAAATCCAGCAATAGCTGCATCATGCATGTTGCACACAAATTCATGTAACAAGGGACCTGAAATTATAAATAATTTGCTCATCCAGAAAATAATTTGGGAGTAAAAGGACACCCCTGGGCTGGGGATGTGGCTCAAGCGGTAGAGCGCTCACCTGGCATGCGCGGGGCGCTGGGTTCCATCCTCAGCACCACATAAAAATAAAAAATAAAGATGTGTCCACCAAAAACTAAAAAATAAATATTAAAAAAAATTCTCTCTCTCTCTCTTAAAAAAAAAAAAACAAAGGACACCCTAGATTCCTAATTTTTTTGGGGGGGGATCGAATTCAGGGGCACTCAATCACCAATCCACATCCCCAGCCCTATTTTGTATTTTATTTAGAGACAGGTCTCACTGAGTTGTTTAGCACCTTGCCATTGCTGAAGCTGGCTTTGAACTTGCAATCTTCCTGTCTCAGTCTCCCCCAACTTTTTTTAAAGGTACTTGTATATGCAGAACTAAAACCTGAAATCAGTATTTTTATTTTTTATAGTATGTGATAAACAAAATTATCATTCTTCACAGGAAAAATAATTTAATGGATGATTTATTCATTGTTAGGCTGGGCAACATGTTCATCCTCTCAAGAGTTTCTAACAATTTAGTTCCAATTTAGAGGAGATGCTGCAGCCAGGGTATCAATTTGGTGTCAAAAAGAGACAATCTCGTGATGCCTAGCACCTAGTGTAGTTTCATACAAGTTTATTTTTACTTAACATATTTGTTAATATTTTACTCACTACCTCCTTTTAGAAAATTAATCAAAGGAATTATGAAATCAATGAGTACCTTTTCTATTTCAAAGCAGGAAAGCACAAAGTGACAACCCAGCTCCTGCTTTCCTGGAGGTCCCTTCCTACTTGAAAAAAACACCTATTTTTGGTAGATAGAATATTAGATTGATGTATTTTTCCTAAAAGGCCTGGGTAGTTCATATACACATTCACCAAATGATAACATCTGTGCTTATTTCATACAATGCAATTTATCAGTTAACAATGAAATATGAATGCTTGGCATTCAGTATTTTGGTACTGCAGAAACAAATGCCAAAACTAAAAGAACAAAAACCCATGAACTTAATCCCCGCAAATTTCAATCACATTGAATACAGGATGTTGGACATCTCAAGACTACATCTTGGTATTTATATTTTGCACAACACTGTCTCAGAACTAAGAGGCAAGTCTTGATGCCCAAGCCTTTGTGCTATGTGTATGCTATCTGCTGATGCAAAATGCCTTTCACTCTCTAAATTTCAATATGTAATGTATAATCTGAAGAGCTTTTGATTTCCTGAAGAAAAGTAGTCCACAAATGCTGAAAGCCTGGAACCAACAGTGCCAATTTACAGAATAGAAAGTACATTTCTAGTTACAGGCAACTTCAGAGTGATAAACACTAAACAGGCACTTTACATGTTTCCAAGATTTTTCCTAAGCCACTGCTTAGATGGTCTTCAAAGCCAACTGAGAATAATAAATAATTTACTACACTGTGTGTCCCAATCTTTAATTTATTTATTTAGTTATTCATTTTTAATTAATTTATTTGGTACTGGGGTTTGAACCTAGAGATTCTCTACCCTTGAGTGACATCCCCAGACCTTTTTTTAAAGATGTTTTTATTTTGAGACAGGGTCTTGTGAAGTTGCTTATGGTCTTGCTAAATTGTTGAGGCTGGAATTGAATGTGTGATCCTTCTGCCTTAGCCTCCCTAGTTACTAGCCACATCCCAGCCTCCCCAAACCTTTTAGATAAAAAGAACTGAGGGAGTATGTCTCAAAATTAAAAAACAAAAGAGTCTGGGGATGTAGATCAGTGGTAAGCAAACAAATACATACATACATAAAACCATAATCAAAGCAATCTTTATGAACATTTACTTGAAAGAATTCTATATTATCGTCATTCTAATGGATTTCTACTGAGGAACTTAACTTTAGATATAGCACCCACTAGCAACAATCTTTCAGTAAGCAGTATTATATGGAAAATGTGGAGTACTGAAGAGTGTCCAAGAATGAGTGTCATCAAATTTGGATTAAATACCAGCTCTATTGCTCATTTGCTATGTGTGACCTTGGACAAATTACCTATTTTCCTGAGCCCGTTCTTGACCTACAAATTGAGAATAATTAGATTTACATCACAGGACTACAATGAGAATTAGGTCAGATTATGTATATAAATTAATGTAATATCAAAAATATAGTAAGTGCTCAATAAGTATTAGCTATTTTCATAAAAAACTTGCCTTACATTTATAGAGCAACTAATACCTCTGTAAACTCTTCAACATTTAAATATTTTCATTCATTCAAATACATCTTGAATACAAGATTTGTGTCATTAGAACAAATGTGAGATACATGTGGTAGTCAAAGGCAATGACCATTAATTTTAAACTTTTGTATTTTTTATAGTATGTTCAAAAACYATTATTTTTCAGGAAGCTAAAATTCTTTTAAACAATTCAATCTCTTTTTGTGCCTCTGTCTTCTACAGCATCTGTACTATTGCAGCCATTTCTAGTCAGACCCATTTTCTCATCTGCTGCACTGACAGTTGTCAGCACATAACCTCCAACTTTACTACTCTGCATATTTCAAATTGGAGTTTGTAACCTAAGCTGTAAATTCCCAAAGGGCAAGGAGTATGTGTATATATATTTCAACACCAAATTTTATCAAATTATTGCTAATTATTGATATAAAAAATTCTTATGCACTCTTTCTGACCTATCACCATAGTCAGTACCCTATCATATCCACACCTAGTTGCTTCATCAGCACCTAAATTGCTCTACCTACTTCCAATTCTCTCCTATTGATTCCAGAGGTCTGGGGCTACAGATAAATGAAAAAAATTGCTATTGACAGACTGCTTCCATCCATCCTTTATTATTAATGACATTCAAAAGAAAAATAGCTTATGATTTATTTTCAATGCAAAAATAATTGAATTTAATTGTAAACATTCTCTACTAAAGAATATTCTTTTCAAAATTAATGTGATTCCTTTCATAATGTCACCAATACATAGCAGAGAAGAACAATCACCTCCTTTTTTTTGGCATTAGATAGACTTTCAGCAACATTTGACAGTCATATTCTTTGACTCATTTTATGTAAGTGTCCACTAAATCCACTAGATTCTTTGTGTGTGTGTGTGGCAGGGGTAAAAGGGAAAGATAGATAGATATGTAAATAGATATGAAAGCCCCACACATGTTAAACAAGTGCTCTACCACTGACCTATATCCCCAGCCTGTTTGTAAGTTGCTGTAGTTAAGTTATGACACAAAGAAAGGGCCCTGGAACAGAAATAAATGGATCTGGATTCATACTCCTTTGCTGCCACTTAACATTCTAAGTGACCTTGGGCAAGTAGTTCTTTGTCTATAAAACAAGTAGTGGGGCTAGATCTCTAAGCTCCCAGTCCAGTTTTTCCTTTGTATCATCTCCCACCTCCATGCCAGTCTGTACTCTCAAGGCGAACAATTAAGTTTCTACATTCCTTTGCAGTGATCTTGGGGAAAATAAAAAGTGACTTTTCCTAATCAATACTTAGGACTGCCTATAGAAGCTAAGAAACTTCATTCTTGCTGGGTATGGTGGTATATGCCTCTAGTCCCAGTTACTCAGGAAATTGAGGTGCTGAGGTGGGAGAATCACTAAAGTCCATGAGTTCAAGACCAGCCTGGTCAACATAATGAGACTCCATCTCAAAAAAAAAAAAAAAAAAAAAAAAAGTTCATACCAGATTTGCAACTGTCTACTAAGTCATCTTCCAGGATAACCTTCATAGATCGTGGAATACTTCCAACAGATAGCCTTTGAACCTAGCAAAAAAAAAAAAAAAAAGAAAACAGAAAACAGATACTAAGCCTGCTTAAATACATACTAAGTATCTAGAAGTCAACAGTATTTGAAATTACTGTTTCCATTTCTCTGGTATTTTCATACAATTTAATTCTGATGGGAAATTTCAAGGAATTTTTCTTGAAAACTGTACCATCAGACATGAATTGGATGTCAACATACTTTATATACAAACAGAGATATGAAAAATTGTGGCATATATGTGTAACAAGATTTGTACTGCATTCCGCTATCATGTTATTTTAAAAAATAAAATCAATTAAATGAAAAAAATAAGAATAGAAATCATGCACTGAGTGATGCAAAAGATGGTGTACACCTGTAATCCCAGCAACTCAAGGCAAGAGGATTGCAGGTTCAAGGCCAGCCTCAGCAACTTAGCAAGGCCCTAAGCAACTTAGTGAGACCTTGTCTTAAAATACGAAATGAAAAGGGCTGTGATGTAGCTCAGGGGTGGAGCTCCCTGGGTTCAAGTCCCAGTACCAAAACAACAATAACAAAAAAGAGAGGTACAAAAGAAAGAAGTCTGAGTCCTTAACTGAAGAGACTATATACTAGCCTTGGATTGTCTATCTCCTGCTTATTTTAGATGAGACAACAAACCTCTGTGATTAGTGAAGGAAAATCATGCTCATTTTTGTTAAAGATAAAGGATACCTCCTTTGGCACAGCAATTAAAACTGAACTGAAATCCTGAATCCAGTTGTACCCATGTTTCACAACCAGTTAAAATCACTGAATTTCCCCCTTTCCTAAGTGAAGCATGGCTATTTAGAATTCTTAAATATTCATCTTAATAATAAACATACTTAACCTAATTATTAAGTTATTCCATATCTTTTTAGCAATGTTCTATCTGGAAAGATGATTATGTCATGGCCTCTAAATCTAAAAACTATATTCTGATATATGTGCAACAGTTTTAAGATTGATCTTCCATAAAATGATGACAGAAGTCTGTGTACTCCTTTTGTATTACCTAATCCTAACAATTTGACCACAATGGAAAACCACTTCCTCAAATTTGTTGTTTTTCTCATTTATTGGATCACTTACTTGTTCCTGAATTTTGATTTCCTGGTAATCTCTACACCGGGATGGAGATGCAGACAAATCTGAAAGGCAGGTGAATTTAGAAGAATCACAGCTCTCCAAGCTAGGACATGAGGATGGGCGGCAGAAGGTGTAGTACTGCTCAAAGTCAGCCTTGACCACAAATACATGTTTGCATTTGTTACACATGTAATCTCGTTCAAACTCCAGCACCTTCACYAGACTTGTTCGAATCACTGTCCCGGTGACAGATAAAAAGTGTCCCACATCCTTGGTTTTAGGGATGTGTTCCCTCACCAGCTCAGGACAGACAGGCAACCCTAGTAGAAAAACAACATCAATTTACACCTTCAGATTTGACTCCATGGAATATACTCTTCCTATTTCCTGGGAGAGAAATTACAATTTCAGGAAAGAAAATATTTGTATTTTACTTAAGAAAAAAAAATCATCAACTCAATTAAGAACATAGAAAGGACTTCAAGTAACAATTTTCAAAGGACTCTCAAAAGCATATATCAAGATGCTGTAATAACCAGGGTTAAAAATAGAATTTATCCTCATAAATTGGCTATCCCAGTAGGATCTAAATATGGGGTGTAATTGTAATCATATTTCACAAAGAAAATATTGCTACTTGCCACACATAAAATAAGCTGCGGATTCCTTCAGTAAGTCACAAAGCAGAGAGAGAGAGATGACAGACAGCATGACGACCAAAGAGTTTCACAGAGCTACCTGATTGTTTTTTTTTTTCAGTTAAGTTCAGTATTTATAAATACATAAATCTGATGGTGTTTTTAGGTCTTGATTTACCTAGAAGTTTATCCACAGCATCACTTTATTCTTTAAAACCTGTGTTGTTCAACATAAAAAAGAAAACAAACAAAAAAACAGGGAACTAAAAAGATGCAAAATGCCAAAGAAAAGTCCAGTGCAGAAATGCCCTTTATATTTGGCTGCAATGCATCACTGAAATGGAGAGATGCTGGTTGTCATGGTCAAGGCTACTTCCCAACAGGTTTATTAGGGTAGCATTTGCTATACTAGTTCATGCCCTGTGATCTGTTGTTTTCTCCTGAGAATTAAGTGGCTCAAAACCTGATCACTGTGCACACTAAAGATTAATCAATCAGGTTTGCCAAACTCATGAGAAATAACCATAGTAGGTATAATAATACTTTAAGATTCTATAGTGAGCATTTTGATGCATGCACTATAAAAGCCTAACAATAACAGTAATAATCAGAAGGTAGTCCAGGCTGGCCTACCCACACTTACATAAATGGCATAACTTAGCAAAATCATCAACTGATGCAAAATGGCATAAACAATGTCTTTTATATCTGAAGGAAACTTCTACCCAGGAAGAATAAAAAGAAGGTATTCTTTGGTTCCATGGACAACTTCTCCTTACAGATGATGTTCCAGGTCCACATATGCTAGATCATGACAAGTCTACATGAAACCCACCCCACCTTTTTTTCTTTTTTTTTCAATCAGCACAAGAAAATGTGTTGGAAACCTGCTTCACATTTGGAAAGAAGGCAAGTTGTAGGTATCAGGGAGGAGGCCCAGCCCTACCTAGGTCCATGCTCAGCACTCCCCTCTGTATCCTCTCTAGAGGGTAGCCAGAATAAGGGAATCCCTTACTGTTCTTCCTTAGCAAGGACACTGTGTCTAACCAATTTTACTATCTCATAAGAAAAACTATGTAAACAATTCCAACCAATTTTCTAAGAAAATTAACTTTTATAAGTATCTTCTGCACTTTTATAGTACAGGGCAATATGTCATCATTAATGTTCTCAAATTAGAAATCTTAAAAGTACAGTTTACATCCTACTGAATCATGCAAGTGATACATGTTAGGCTAAGGTGTTTTTTTTTTAATTAGTCTAAAACATGTCAGATTAAATGGCTTGTTTTATATAGAAAGTATACTTTTATTTAAAAAGGGTTACAGAGGTGAGTACATTTCTGGGTCTTCAGGTTCTTTTCTTTCATCTCACATGAAGATGTTTAAGATTTTATATTAAGTATGAAATATGATATGTCAAGAACTATGTAATGTTTTGAACAATTAATAATAAAAATTTTTTAAAAAGATTTTATATTAAAAAGACAAAGGCAACAAAATTTTAAGCACAACTGGCCATATATAGTCAAATCTTAGAAGTATTGAAAAAGGCTGAGATACCATTTTATAGGTTAATTTATTATTAATAAATTTATTTTGACACAGAGAATTTTATTCCTATATATATTACTATGTATGCTTTTCAATTATCCCAGTTGAATCACTTGGAGCTCAGCTACCATTAGTGCTGAACGCAAGAACCTTTAGCATTCTCTGACCCATTCCCTGATAAAAGAACAAAAAAAATTTTTGAAATAAGAGATATGTCCACATCAATTATTTTAGGGCCATGGTTCTCAGAGTATAGTCACCAGACCAGCAGCACCAGCATTATTGAGAGGTACTAAAAATGCAAATTCTCGGGGCTGGGAATGTGGCTCAAGCGATGGCTCGCTAGCCTGGCATGTGTGCSGCCTGGGTTCGATCCTCAGCACCGCATGCAAACAGGGATGTTGTGTCTGCCAAATAATAATAAAAAAAAAATATTAAAAAAAAAGTTCTCTCTCTCTCTCCCTCTCTCTAAAAAAAAAAAAGAAAAGAAAAAAAAAGAAAATGTAAATTCTCAGGCCTCACATCTGCTATCCTCAATAGGAAACTCAGGGGAGAGGGGGGCAGCAGCGACAGCAATCAGTGTTTTAACAAGCCTTCCAGATAATTTGGATGCTAATATTTGAAAACTACTGCTTTAAATAATTCATGAATATTATTCTTTGTTATCTACTTTTCATGTAAACCACTGAGAATACCAAATAAACTTTAGGCTAATAAAAATTCCAGACGACAAAGTAAGAAATATAGGTAAAAGAAAAAAAATATATAGGTAAAAGAATAARATTCAATGTATATCCTGGTAAAACAAAGCTGGAAACTATCTTATATTCCTAAGGAGAGTAAACCACAAAGGCATCCTGAGTTCTAACAATTAAATTCCTAATCTGGAGTCTAATATAGAGGTGCAACATACTGAAAATCAGACTATTTCAGGCTCTGATCTTTTACACATGTTGTTCATTCTTCTGGGAACCTCCATCCTTCACTGGCCTTATCTTCTTGAAACCTCCAGCGATTCTCCTAGAACTAATTCTCTGTTCTATGAGCTAATATATACCTTAAACATTTCTTGAGGGAGGCATGCATTGTAAAACAAATGCTGTCATTAAGGTCCTTTACAATTCTGTTTAATATGTACATATGCATGTATCCATAGGCATGTGATAAATATTTAACTATATAAGATATCTCCCCCAGTCTTGAGCACCTTTTTGAGAAAGGACTACCCCTTACTCTTTGGTTTCCCAAAATGATATGATACTAAGGTAATAACATAATATTTTTTTTCAGATAAGAATTGAAAAAAATAGGCTAAATTCATCTGAAACTGATAGGGTCACTTAAAACAGAATTTCATTATTTAAATTTAACATAAGAGAAGTATAGAACCACTTTCTAACTACTATTTCAACAATTTTCAATTGTTAAAGCCCCCTTTTAACAATCTTTTTGCAAACTTATTAAAAAGGAACAKTTCTTCTTGACCCACCAAGAGATTATCTAAGTGCCCTGATGCATAATGATTAATAATCTTCATAATTTTAACCTAGAAAATGTAAATGCAGGTACTATTTTTCATTTAAATCAAATTTCTGCTGGGGAATCTTAATTTGCCTCCAAGGAGGTCTACTCTAACSTTTTTGGAATCGTATTAAGCATTTCTGTTGATTATAAATCCCCACCCTCCTCAAATGTACTATAAGGTAAACATTTATTTTTAAACAAAAGGGTATGTGTATTTTCCAACTTAATTACAGGCCGCTTTAAGTATTCTGGAGTCGGCTTTTAATTTCACCAAGTCCTTCTTTTTCATAAACAGATTGAGGTTGTACCTGCCTTTATTAGTTTATATAATGAGGACAAACTTCAAATTTAAAGAAAACCAAAAGGCTAGGTGGTTAACATGGACTCTAGAGGTAGTTTGTTCAATGAGATAAAGTAATTTACTCAATCTCCCAGCCCAGCACATAGCTCTAACCAGACATCTTCCAAATTCATTTTTCTCCTTTCATCATTCCACACATCTTCCCAGAAATGATTCCCATGGAATGAAGTAATGAAAAATTATTACACTGTAGTGCTACTTTCCTAAAATTCTTAAGAGTGACTCTTCAACTCTATCCACTTTGTTAAAACTCATTTTTAAATGAAGATAAGGATCAAGGAGCCAGGAATACAAGGACATGACTTTGCCACCAAAAGTTATGATTACTCCACTGTAGTTACTTAAAAATTAAGATGCTTAATCTGTCATTCCTTCAACAAAAATGTATTGGGTTCCTGACAGGTAGACAGTACAATGCTAATCTTAATATATAAGAGTAATTAATTTCCTAAAATAGTTTTGAAGCTCACTGGGCAGAATCTACCACTTTTCTAATCCTTACATTACCAACTCTTTTATTATTAGTAGTCACAAAACCTCATAAAACTGCTTGGGATTACAATTTTACACACATAGAGAATTACACATATATTATTGTCTCCACATCTTTTTTCCCCTCTATTGGATGTCTGTTACCCCATGTCCAGAGATGATAATCATTATTCTAATTTGAAAGAAGTAACCAATAGCTACCCAACAGTTATGTATTTTACGTAAAAATACAAATTAATTTTTAGTGCTCTGAATCCCACAGGTATTCTGTTTTCCTAAAATCTTCATAGAAAATTACATGGCAGTAACATTCTTAAAGTGATCTACCTGATATCCTGGCATGTAGATTCTGCTTCATGGAAGCACCCTCAGGCTGAGAAAGGGACTGGAGAATTGTCAAGGCTGACCTTCGCAGTGCATTATCAAAAACAGTTAGCACTTCATTGGGGAATGCATTGAAATATTCTCCAATTTCCATGTTGGTCTCGAAAAGGTTCATAGCATTAACTACAACTGGGTAATGAGCATCTTCATCTCTCTCCTTCAAGATCAGAAGAATGTCATTCTTATGGTATTCTGAAGCATATGACTCGAACACTTGACCCACCAGCATAACTTGATCATTATTCATCTTGAATCTAGATTACTAAAGAAAATGAAAAAATTGTATTATCTCTTTGATATTCAAGATTTTCACAAAATCAAAATGATTTTTTGGTTGTAAATCATCCTGGTTTTAGGTCATGCTATAATCACAAAAATAATATCTGAATTCAAACCTTAACTAGATCTAGATTATCTGTTATAGTTAGTTGTGCAATAACATGTACATTAAAAATGRGAAATGAAATTTAAGCCAAAAAATTAAATGGTACTGATTATGGAAATCCAAAATGATAAAAGTATTTCCCATATCTTTTCCCAAATCTTTCTCTTCATTAACCTTATATTGATATTATAATTTATGTAATATATGTAAAAGGTAACACTTTTCTTTGACCACATTACATACATACACAGTTGCTCTCAAGTATAATGTCTTAAACACGAGTCTTTTGTCCAAAGTCACTGCCAGTGGAGTTCTTTGCAAGTGTCCTGGTTCTAGGCTTTTTTTTTTTTCCTTTTTCAATATTTTTTATAGTAGATGGACACAATAGCTTTATTTTATTTTTATGTGGTACTGAGGATTGAACCCAGTGCCTCACATGTGCTAGGTAGCACCCTACCAATTGAGCTACAGTCCCAGCCCTGATTCTAGGTTTTATTCAAAGAAAAGCATACCATTTTTTTCTTTCTTTCTTTAATTACACACACACACACACACACACACACACACACACACACTTTCATATATATTCTACTACATAAATGGAGCCAGTTTTAACTTGAATAATCAATTATTTTCTTTAGAAATGTTTATTTAGAGGTAAGTTTGTTTCCTAATCTAGGAAAACTTCAGACTTCAGCAAAAACAGCTATAAAGAAAACAAGCACACACCTGTAATCCCAGCTATGGAGGAGCTAAGGCAGGTGGAAGTTCAAAGTGAGGCTGGGCAAGTTAGTGAAACCCTGTCTCAAAAAATACAATTAAAAAAGGGCTGGGGATGTAGAGCAGCAGTAGAGCATATACCTAGCATGCATGAAGTGCTGGGTTCAACCCCCCAGTACCACATACACACAAAGAGCACAAAAGAACTAGACAAACTGAGGAAAGAAACACTAAGTTTTTGAATAATAAATAAGATTAGAAATAAACATAATATATACCAAACTTCACCTATCTCATTCCAYTGGCAAACATCATCACCATCATCTTCTTTCTAAATATACACTTGCAGATTAAAAAGGGCCTACCCCCATTCCATTTTCATGAATACAGTCAAACCACAAATTATATATGCATAAAACCAATTCGATGTCCATTTCCTAATATATACCTTGCAAAAGACACTATTCTGGCAAATGAAAAATATAGGAAAAAAAAAAAAGGTTCTATGTCCTCAGAGAACCAGAAGACAGGTCAAATGAAAACTGCCCCACCAGTGGTAAAAATGCAATACAAATAGGACCACAAAGGAGAAAGGAATTAAATTTAAATGGGGCAACAAGCCCACTTGTGGGAATGTAGCTGCACTGGGGCAGTTACAAGTGAACTGTTCAAATATTTRTCCAAATTTATACATGGTTTGGAAACAGAGCAAATACCTTAGAAGAGGTGTACTTTAATCCAATTTACTCGATTCATCCAACATTTATTGTTCTAGGCTGTACAAATACGAGGATTAAATAAAAGTTTAGCATCCTGAATACGTGTTACATATGCKATATATGATAGCCAGTGTGAGATTAAGAGATGAACAAATTTACATAGAAGAGAATAAGTGAACGAAAATTATGAACACCACATAGATACGTGATTTTGTTTTAGTTAGGTAATAAAAAGTCAGCTGAATATAAAACAGAAAAGCCCTTGACAAGAACTAATCACACAGCGCTTCTACAAAGATATGGTCTTTGCTTAAAAACAAACAAAACTACTGGGATCCCAAGGGTGGCTGCAAGAGAATCCTAAGATTCTCTTAGATGCATATTCAATTTAGAGCCACAAATTCAGCAATCTGAAAAACAGCTCCATAAAGTGAAGAGGGCAGCTGCAGAATTCAAAGTTCAAATTAAAGTTGGATGAAATTTTGCCTAGTTAGACCATCAATTTATATCATTTTATGGACCAAATTTCTGACAACAGCATACTCTTTCAATACCTGTGCAATACTGACTACTCAAATATTTTATATGCAGTTTGTTCACTCTATTAACACGCCCACCTAGATACAGGATTAAGGCACAACTCTGGAGTTCCCTTTTCCTTTTTTTTCTTATTGAATATTTGGAGACAAAAGCATTTTGCCTTATTTAGTTCTCTTGACCAAAGTGAAGGRCCATAAAGGAAAATGCAGAAGCCTGGGGATCCTGGTCGCCCCGCCTCTCGCCGGCTGGAACCGCGCCCGGAGTCTAGGACACGCCCCGYTCCCCGCGGGAGCGCGCCCTCGCCGCTCCTCCTCCCGGCCCGCACCGTGGCGCGGCAGACGTGGAGCCGACCCGCTCCCAAAGGAACGCTTTACAAACTAAATTCCTAATCCACAGGGTCTGGGCGCTCAGCCCCTGCCCTACGACACCTCCGCTGGTCTGACCCGTTCCGGGCTCTGCTCCCGGGCAGCTCCCACGACGGACCGGTAGCGGAGCTAAACAGTTTCTTAACTAGAAAGACGTGAGCGAGACTTGAGACTAACTACTAGAAAATAAATAAATAAACCACCGTGAAACGAGGCAGCGGCTGTCACTTACCGGCTGACACGCAGTGTCAGAAGTCGCCGGGGACGCGCTCCTCCCAAAGGCGCGGGAGCTCCGGCCCAGCGGCGGGGTACTCCTCGCAGTCCCCGGGGCACGAGGAACCCAGTGGGGGCGGGGCGTGCGCGTGGCCGCTCGGAGCGCCTCGGGCCGCGGGGGCGCGCAGACTCCGCAGTGTTAGCTTCGCGCGGCTGCTCGGCCAGGCCTGCGCTCCTGAAGATCGCCCAGCCGCGCACAGCCTCAACTTTGCAGCTCCGGCAGCTCTTCCGGGTGGAGACGCAGGCGGGCGCGCGCCCCGAGTCGCGGTGGGCCGCGAGCGGTGGGGCGGAGCGGGGCGGAGCCGGGCGGGTTGAGGAGGGGCCAGGAGGGTCGTGGGCGGGGTGAAGGGCGGAGCGCCGCTGGGATCTAGCGGCTTGCTCAAGGCCGGACTAGGGAAGGGGGCGCTGTGGGGCCACTCGGGAGAACCGAGGATTCCAAGGAATCTCCCTAACCCACGGTCGCAAATCTTCTCCCGTTTTCTGTAAAAGTTTAAAAATTCTAGATTTTTTTTTTTTYYKGGGRWTKRAMCYWRGGGSMAWTKGSC